GATCAGGTTATAGGAGGAGACGATTAAAATAATTATGTTAAGAGTAACAGCAAAACTATGGACAATAACTAACCAGTCGCCCTGGTAACAAAAAATGCTAATCACTTGGTTAGAAATTCGAATACATCAATTAACCTTGAAGTGTGTGTTGATAATTCTGTCTAAAAAGACAATAAATGCTTGTTGAATAATGCATCAAATTCAGAGAATACAACTACAAATTTCTCCTCCTCATTTTCAGATATTCTTCGTCATCTCAAAATTTGTTGTCTAGTGCATTTCACCTAAAATCTGTGTGATTGATTAATTGTGAAATTTTTGTAATTATCGATGAAAAAAATGAGTTACTTACAATAAACAAATTTAATTTGAATATCTGATGCTTCTTATTTCCCTTAATTCTAACAAGTTTTAGTTTTGTAAGAGATACTTTATAAATTTTGAAAAACAAACTTTCATCAATTTGATCATCCCTATGAATTGGTATGCATGTTCTACGAACTTTTACATGATATATTGTTATATAACTAACGTGGTGCGTGTTAAGTATAGTATGCGAGTTAGGAATGTAATGTCCGGCAGCAGAAGATGAGGGAAGATCAAGAAACCAAGAGCGGGAATAGAATACAATTTGTATGAAAAGGCAAGAACAATGAAATCTGAGGCATTTTGGAATAATTGGTGGACATTTTGCAAATTAACGATTTGATATATAGTTCTCAGATTTTATTGAGATGCTCTGTAATTTTGTGTCAAATACATTCGGTTGTCCCCACCCGTGTTCTTGATCACGACACTAACACATATATCGATTAAACCCACCAGTGATTTTGAGTTATTAAAGAAGTTGATGAAATCAATTATGTAGTGCATGTAAAATGTACTTAAATAACATTTGTATTTGTCAATAAATTACTCGAAAGTTTCAAGTTGAAAAAAACTCAACACACACTGATCAAATGAAATAAATAGAGTCGATTATCTACCTTATTGAACATTTCATCTAGTTGAACTTAGTTTATTTTTACATATCAGATTCCTCAGTGATAATCGGTCATGTTTAATTCTATGGAGTTATTCAGATTGACTTTAAAAAATCTTTACTAATTAAAACTATTTTTAGAAATCTAATTGCCTAGTTATTTAAATAATTAGTTCAAACTATTCATCTGAAAGAAAGCAACACTGAGAAACTAATCCAATTGAGTTGAAAAGTTCTCCCTATCAACATTTCATTCATACAGTGTTTATTACATAGACTTCACGTACCCTACCATATATCAAAGCTCCAAGAAAAACTTATGTCCGTTAAAATGAATAGATTTTCGCATATTACAAATAATTATTGAAAGAAGTTTTTATATATATATATATATATGTATATCATTTACATGGTTGGTATTCCGATCATAGATGTAGAATATCTTGTAACCACTATTTATTATTGTTATTTAAATAATTGTGGTCCTGTAACAAATTCAAGTTAATAAATCTGCTTGAGACAAACTAAAAATGTTCGCTCATCATAATCTGCGATTACTATCATTATTAACAGAATTATTAGTTTTTTTTAGATTATTGCTATTACTGTTGTAATTAATACTAATAGTAATAATAGTAGTACTAATAGCATGATATGATGGAATAAACAAATTGGCAAACTATGTTTCAGTTTTAATTCCATGGGAAAATTTTCAACATACTTCCAGATGAATAAAATTATTTATTCTTCTCATATATATAACAAACTGTTTTCTAGTAAGCCATGAGAGAAGAAGCTCAACAACAAAACTAAAATGAGATTAAAACTCCGTATAAGACAGAAGATGAGTTTAATTGCCTCATTATAATGAAATGGAAAAAAACAGACATTTTCCCACTGAATAATGATCAGATTTTGTTCCATCTTATTCAAGATGATAGTGATAGCGATGACAACGACAACAACAGTAAGAACGATAATCGTGATAATGTTTTTAAGAGTAAAAACATAACGAAAAAAACACAAACATCATAAAAACAGAAACAATTTACCTGGATGATTTATTATTATTGTTAGTTGTTTGTTGCATATTTGATGGATAAATGTAATAATATTTAGTTTTGTGGTCTATTACTGTCTTGTGTCTCTTTAACATGCAAGCATTTTAAGAAGGGATGAAATGAAAGTCTTTATATATATATATATATATATATATATATATATATATATATATATATATATATGGAGAGAGAGACTATGATGTTATAGTTCGCTTATTAACGCTTGTTAAAATAATTCATTTATAGCCATCTGTTCTTGTGAGAACCAAGGAATATGTTTAGATTTCTTTTTTTTTAGTCTGTGAGTTGAAAAAACAAGATGGAGGAAAACAATTTAAATAGAAAGGGAAAACTAAGACGCTATTAGTAGTATATAATTACAACATAATAGTTTTACGAATTTGTATGACTAATAAATTGATACACATAAAGTTACTATTTCTCCCCAAAATACATCAGTCTATATCTAGCTTTTATAGAAAAAAGTTTTGTTTTTTTCCACATAAAACTCAAATATTTTAAAAATGAACAAAATGTTTCAATAACTTCAAGACCGTAAACATGGCGTGAATAGCCTTGATGCGGAAGTGTACTTTTCATATTTTTCCGAAGCTTATATCACAAACCGAGAGTGAGGCTTAAGTGAAATGCAAAATGACAAGATAATCATCTCACACTGATTCTTTGTATATGCTAATCACAGTCAAAGTTTGATGCTGTTCACATTCAAACATTGGGAGATAAATCAAATAAATCCCCAAGTTATGACTACAAAAAGACTTCTCAAGAAAATGTATTCTAGTAAACAATGAGAGTAAAGCATACAGTACAAGGTTAAATTCATTTTAAATCTAGACTAGATTTGGGTCAAAAATGTCAGATGATGGAATATGTTACGACTGTGATTGTTATAAAAACTGTGGATTAAGTACAACAAAAAAGGACAATCACTCTGCTGTCAATAGTCAGTATTTTCAATCACACCGGTACCATTATTCCCACTTATTAGTAGCGAGATATAGTAAGAATGAGTGGTCTCAATGATCATCGTGCTCAAATAGACTTCAGAAAGGTGTACTACTACAGAAGACCATTGTTGGTACTTTTCTTATGCTAAAATGACACGTTTCATAAATAGGATCTTTTACTTAAGCCATCCGAAGTAGTGGAATTCATCTCTCAATCTCTTATTATGGAATAATGTAAGCAAAATTTTGTGGACATATTCATCCGCAACGATGGTGTTATAAAGATATTTTTGGCTTGTGGGAATATTAATACAAAGCCACTTATTGATAGCAACCGGGAGAATGTATACCGTATAATTGTATTCGCTAACAGGGATTGAAAGCAGAAGACACCTGAGTTAAAAAGTTTTTAAAGAGGGGATACTACTTACACAAGATAGGACTGAAGTCCCTATTGAGTGTAACACTAACAAAATTTTCCTTGTGGTTCGAAAATTCCAGGGAAAAAGCTATTAGCAGATACTTAACACGATTTGTCTAGTAATTCCCAGATTTTCAGGTAATTGTCAACTCTATTCCCGAATATTATTACAACACCGATAGGATAGGTGGGTAAAAGAAAATCGGAGGTTGATATCTCTCCTGATTGACTAAGACTTCTAGTTGGTTAAATCAAGGCATAAAAACAGAAAGAATGATCAGATAGGGTAACAATTCCGAATTCCAGTTGACATTTTGCTACCGAGTAATAATTGACAAGCTGTTCGAGTCGCAACTAATCAGTTGACATTGTCCGTAAATATGGGACGTGTTCTGTGTCATTACGATTGGAAGTACCTTCACAAGGCTAGTGAGAATCAATGCTAGTACTCACTCATGATGAATCGTCAGAAAGTCGAGACGTTCACTTATCTGAATCCTTGACTGTGGTGTGACAAATGAGATCAATTTGTGTTTTTAGGAAACCTAGGAGCCTTATGCCAATTTGAGCCGTTTTTGACGCCGTCGTGGTGTTGGTTCAGCTGCAAACGTTCGAGCTCACAGCACATAAGCGAGAGCAGTTCAGTTTAATGTCTGCACTAAGGATGTTTGGAGACTTTCACTCTTCGGACATGGTTGTTTCTGCAGAAATGCTGGCATACGTTGGCGATGCTACATCAATAATCCCGAGGTTCGTCAATTTTTCTACGAGAGTGATGATAATTCAAACGATATGATCATCTGGAAACGTCGACTTTGGTGGTTTGGTTACGTTCCATCAGTGGCTTTTATAAAGAGCATTGTTTACCAAAGATAGAATTCGGTACAAGAAGATAAGAAAAACCGGTTCATGGCATAGAGTCATGGTATGAAAGATAACTGTATACCACTTGTATCTGCTAGCCCACTGTGATTTTATTTAAGGTTCCAACAGCCATGTAACTCAGTGACTTGAGATGTTATCAGGTATGGCATAGGACAGAAGTTATCGGTGATTCTGCAGCAGTTTCTGATACAATTCATGGAATCGAGATGAGTATCATAAACTGAAAGAAATCCTTTTCAGCTACATTTCTATCAAATATTATTTCCGTTCACTTGTTTATTGATTACACTATCATACTCTCCTACTTCCTCACATTTGCAAAACCAGTGTATATTTCCCAACTCACAATATTAATATTTCGCAGTTTTTAAATTTTTGATTTTTATGTAATCGACTGCGTGTCATGATAAAATACATAAATTACCATTTTCTTGACCAGGAACAACTGAGATTTTACATACCGGAATTTAGTGGGAAATGTAAAAACGTTACTTAAGGGGTTGAAGATAATTTAGTTATTTTCATCTGTCAGCAAACATAATTACTTTTAACCTATCGCAAAGCAAATTTCGTTGCATTGCAGTATGTTTGTGAAGAATCAATCCTTACCAAGTAAGACACTTAACCATTTCACTAACTTATCAGCAACCAAAAATTAAGCATCACGGATAAAAGAAACTAAATGGTATCAACAAAATTTATTTATGTATCTCCAGGACACAACTGTTTAAGGAGTAGCTTAATGCGGTGTTTCATGACAGGCTGTCCTTTTCTTGTCAACTTCTGCATTGAGATGTTCCGTTCTTTACGGTTGTGAAGACGCTCTTCTCGTTTTTTCTCTATCGCCTTTTTCCTTTCAATTTTTATCTATCAATTAAAAAACCTAAAACGACAGAACTAACGTCTTTTATTTGCTTTTGTCGAGCTATAAGTTCATGAAACTTGGCTTTTTTAGTATTTTGTCCCTTTCCTTTTTTACTATTATGCTGTGAACTGGAAAAAATACTTAAGGAAAATGTAATTACCTTTTATGAATAGTACCCTGCTTCTCTTTGGTCTGACCTTGTTTCATTGTTCGCGGATATGCAATATCCAATTGATTTCTTTGCGCTCGCTTCTTTTTATCTCGATACAATTTCAGATATTCACTTATGTTCAACTGGTAGTGGTCTAGCCACTCGACTTCCCATATACTAGTCAGTTTTATAGTGATTTGCCTGTTTGTATATCTTGCAGCGTTTGTCTCAAGTCAGTAGGGGTTAAATGGTAATTACCATGTTTTGCTCTAGATAGTTAGGTTATTGAGGTCACTTGAATCTGAGACACGCTTTCACTTGGAGCTTCAGGCTTAAATCTGTGTACTATTTAAAGATCATCGGCATCTAGGTATAATCTCCCAAATTTTGTGGTGTTGCATATGTCGTTTCTATACATAAGAAACAGGAGTGAACCCAATACACTCCACTGGATGACTCAACTAGTTATTGGTCTAGGTGTTGAGAGAGATTCTTTGTACTTTACTATTAGCTTACGTTCCGTTAGAAATGAAGAAAACCATGAATATAGTGGGTTGTTGGTTCCGAAGGACTTTGATTGGACGAGAATCCTTTTTGTGTGGGACCTTATCAAAAGCTTTCTTAAGGTCTAAGAATAGAACTAATACAAGGGGTCCGTTGTTTCGTTCTAGGGTCATATCAATCAGGTAGTCTACTGGGCATTTATCGCATGATCTAGACCTAAGAACCCCAAGCCGGGAGGTTGAAATGAGATTATTAGTAAGTAGATGTTGAAATACTGCTTCCTTAACTAATTTTTCCATCACTCTAGATACCAATGAAATTATGTTTATGGACCGGTAATTTTCAACATTTACTTCAGGTCCTGTCTCGATTTCGGGAATGATATGTGTAGTTTTCCAGGTAGTGAGGTATCACGTTGTATAAGACACAGATCCTCACCTCCACTTTTTAGCATGCTAGCCGGAATACCATCTGGTTCATCCGTGTAGGAATGTTTTATTGTGCTGATTACCTTAGAAATATTCTGTCCATTGAAGTTAACATTAGTAAAATTTCACAGGAAGGTACTGAGGAGCAAAGGTGTTCACTAAATAGTTCCGTAACAAGTTTAGGATTTTCATACACTTGTTTGTTTTTATAAGTGCGTTTACTCCTTTTGATTTAGTGCACGCAATTTTGCTTTAGAAGAGCTTGATAAGTGCAGGGGAGTCATTATTAATTTCAATTTCTGTTATCGTAACTAAGGAGGAAAGGTCATTAAGGTTAAGGAATCGAGTACAATGTCTTTGAAGATGTCTTCGCGTATAGACCGGTGTATACAGATCTTCAGAAAACTTAGGTTTCCAGTAATCCAAAGGTGAGATTTCGTTGAAGATATTTCTGGTGTTGTGATAGAATATGTTCGTTAGTATGTCGGTATTTTAAAGGAGGTTCCCCAATAAGTGCTTATTAGGTAATTTTTGAAGTTTCATCCCATAGACCTTGGCTAGTTCCTACGAAGAGCTGCAGTTTTACGTCTACCTGTTGTGGTTTTTATATAAAACTACACATGACAGTGTCGTGGTAGCTACCTGGAAATCTTTTACCAATATACGCAATATTGAGGTTTGGCCTTCGGTAATGACCAGGTCTAGGATATTTTGATTTCTTGTAGGGCTACTGACTGCACTCTTCAAGCTCTAGACATTCAAAAATTGATCCATAACTTTCCGATGTTTTAACTGTAGACCACGAAATTGCAGGCATATTGAAGTCACCACAAATAGGCTTGTCTGCGAATGGAAGGGATGACGCTAGTGTGGATACCTCTGATAATACCGCTACTTCACCCACTGATGCGTTAGGTTAACAGTAGACACAGCCGAACAGTAAGGAAATGTAATTCGAAAGCTTCAAAACAATCCACACAGAATTCTTCAGTTTGTTTAGTTCAGGCATATCACATAATAGTGAGTTTAAGCTAAATTAAGCGTGAATAAGGCATCCTCTTCTTCGTCATTTCAACCTATCACTTCGATATAGGAAGTATATATCAAGAGATATACTTAGGTTGGAAATATTATGGTCAGTTCATAACCCTTAGGGGTGTAATATGTGTTTAAAATGAGAACTTGGTTGCTCTTCAGTAGCTCGTTATTTTGATGGATAGAATTAGAGAAGGATATATCAAATGAACCAGTGAAATTGCCTGGAGAGTTTACCCAGGAGAAAATGGTGGAGATACTCTCTGATCAAAACTGCACGGGAGAAGCAAGGTTATGTTCCTCGTATGGTTTGAAATGACTTGAGCTATATGCTTCAATCGATGTGCCATTAGGGGCCGTATTCCAAAAACATCTGGTAGAAGTTGACTGTGAAGCGTACTGTTATTTGCAACATGGTCTTTAAAGTTAAGCTCATATCTTTGGTCATAGCTATTTGCGTTAGTGTGAACGTGAGAGCGGTCTGCTGCACGTAACTGGAAGTAGTTATGACTGTTATTATACAAAGGAGCTATTTATGTGTGGTGGGTTGGTGCCGAAAGATGTAGAGGGTTTTCTTTCTGAGTGTAATTACAATTGGAATCCTGGGGAACAGAGATAGTGTGTGAGGTGAGAAACCTATTATCCACATACTTATTAACGGTTCCAGGCTTCAGGGGTTGAGCGAAGTGATCGGTACTCTGATAGATTTTGATAGTCTGCATGCGAAAAAGTCTGTTGCACTCAAGCCTACCAATAGTCATCTTGTAAAACACCTTTAGGAGAACTAACTTTCAAGTGAATAGGTTTATCTAGATGTTTGTCTTCATATGGCTCACATTTAATCACATTACTGCGCGAACAGAAGGGATAGGAAATGTCGTTGTGATTTTTGTGAGAGTTGGAATCTGTATCTTATTTTAAGGTTTATGATCTGCAGACCCATCTAGATCTATAGAGTGGTCTGACGTTTATGGAATGACATCATGTTTATTGTTCATGCGCTTTAAACTAATTACTTACTTACGCCTTTTGCTCCTAATGGAGCATAGACCGCCGACCAGCATTCTCCAACCCACTCTGTCCTAAACCTTTTTTTCTACTTCCATCCAATTCTTGTTCACTTTTCTTACGTCCACCTCCATTTCTCGGCGTAATGTGTACTTTAGTCTTCCTCTTCTCCTTTGACCTTGAAGATTCCATGTTAGGACTTGCCTTGAAACACAGATGGGTGCTTTCCAACTGGATTACCCCATAGTCCTCTTAGGTTGCTGCAGGGGCGCTGGACGATTTTTCCTGTTGCATGGTGCTGCTCTACTGCGGCATGTCATCTGCTCTTTAAGTAGATTACTGTTTCAGGTGTGCCGGCCAGTTCTGTACGAATTACCGCCATAGGTTTTGGCCTGTATAGTGTGTTCCATTTTCGACTCCACGTTATCTATTTTCTGAACAGTGGGTTGTTGACCACTACCATCTAACTTCATTGGGCTTTTCTACTGTTACCTGACTGATTTAGATCGACTTTCACAACATTTGATGTGGCTGAAGACGTCAATTTTTCAGCCATACCAGGCCTGAAGGCTCTCATTTAAGTCCACGAGTTTCTGTAATTCACAGCCGTCATCTCTTGACTAACTTGCTTATTGCGAGAGAGGATTGAACAGCAGCCCTAGATAACAGTCTGTCTGTCGATGTGATATTCATAGATTTTAGCAAAGCATTTGACAAGGTTTCACATGCAGGTCTTATGCAGAAGCTCACGAGCTTCGGATTAATAGGTAATGTACATGAGTGGATAGGAAATTCCTTATGTGACCGCAGACAGATAGTGGCGGTCAACGGAACGCTATACGAATGGAAACCGGTTAAAAGTGGTGTACTCCAGGGCTACATCTTAGGCCCTCTGTTCTTCCTTCTCTACGTTAATGAGTTACCACTGTTGCTTAGGTCGTCAACATTATTGTTTGTGGATGATGTAAAAATCTGGAGAACAATAAAAAGGGCGGCTGATCATCTGGATCATCAAGTCGACTTAGACGATTTAGTTAGATGGGCCCGAGAGTGGGGCTTAGAAATCAATGCTAGGAAGAGTGTGCTAATGCACATCGGTCACGGTAATAGTTACCGCCATACTATTGAGGGTAAACCTCTTCCATGCGTTCAAGAGTATTAAGACTTGGGAATAGTAATAAGTCATAATTTAAAAACAACTACGCCTTGCAAAGCAGCCGCCGTCAAAGGTTTTCGTGCCTTATGGTCACTTCGCCGAGCGTCCAAATCTTTTGACAAGGAAACGTTTCGAATTTTATATCCCATATACGTAGGACCACATTTAGAGTACTGTATCCAAGCAGCTAGCCCGTGTCTGGTAAAGGATACTAACTCCCTTGAGCGTGTTCGGCGTGTGGGAATGAAATTAGTGAAGGGTCTTTCTAGACTCTCTTACGATAAGCGTTTAAGATGACTAAATCTTTTCTCCTTGTCGTATCGTAGGACACGAGGTGACCTTATACTGGCATCTTTAATTACGACTTGGGTGCTAATATGTCTTATATTTTCGCTCCCTCCAGCACTAATAATCTCCGAGGTCATAGCAAGAAGGTTCATAAACCATGATCTAATACTTAGTGGGGTCCCGTTTTTCTCATCGAGTAGTAAATGATTGGAACGCCTTACCCGAACAAGTGGTATCAGTCATATTAGTGAATACTTTCAAGGAGAAGATGGACCTTCACTGGAAAGCAGTGTGTCAGGATTAATACAGGTTCATCAACCTACTATCCTTATTACTGAAGACTGAAGACACGGAGATTTGATGTTCATGAGGTGTAACGGACAAGGTAGTCTGGACATGCTTAATGTTGTAGTAATGCGAAGGCCTGCGCTGGGTGATAGGCAACGAATTCTTTGAGATAAATGTACTGATAAAAAGGCACTTTCTTTTGTAAATAAAGTTCATTTTGTTTACAAAATATCTGTGAATACTTCGTGTTCACTGATAAGGCGTTTCTGAATAACAGCTATCGAGTTGGTGATTTATTATTTACTAAGATGGAAGATGATTGAGTCGAATTTCTTTCTACACTAATTATGGTCATCTGAAACTCATCGGCACATTATTGAACGTTATACCGATGTACATTTGTTTGACTATACCAGCGAGCTATGAAGCTTTGCAATCAGCTGTTACTGTTATAGCCATTTGAGTATTAAGATGCCTTTCCTCAGTCCAGACTGGAGATGTCCTGGAGATCAGTGGCTAAAGACAAACGAAAGTGGCAGCATGTGGGAAAATGCCAAAATTTATCGGCTCAGAATGTTTGAAACCATTAATGAGAATGTTGTAAAGCGGTTTGTAGTTTATTTTTTTAATTATTCGTGATGTTAGACTGTGTCGGCAAACATTAGAAGATGAAATGAAGTCAACACCGTATGTTAGTGAATACCTTAAAGCCGTTTTTTACCAACCATACATACACCTTCAAGCAGGGACTACTCGTGAGGTTTGTTACTATAACCACCCATAAAGTGGCCGTAGATCGCTACAACAACAACTATTAGTGAGGCTCTCCTAAAGCTCGATACCAAAGCTGCTTTAAGAGACATAAGAAGATTCGATTATATATGCAAAGTATTTTTCTCATCGTTTTCATGTTTTAGATAATTGAACTTCTTATTTCAGAGCACTTTCACAGGTTAGCCGGAAGGTTACAGCTCTTCCTAATTGAACTTCTAAAAGAGGTGCTCAAACAAGGTTCTTGTGTTGTCTAATACTTATATAATTTAGTTCAAGCTAGTTGCAACCAGACAGAACGTTTTCGAAAGCTTCTGGATGCATTAAGAGAAAATCTAGATAAAAATGAATATGATCATATTGGAAGTGCCTTACTTTGGCAAAATCATAAAAAAGCCCTAGATGAGATGTACATTCGTATCGATGAATTTGATATTGAAAAAGTAGGCTTCTCTGCTTTGTATGAGTTTCGAAGTATCTATGTAATATACTTAGCCTCACGTTTTCTGTTGTTTTTCTTTCGTATAAGATCACCTAATATAATAAGCTAACATAATATTGCTAGATAAAACTCCCAACGTACTAGGCTATGATATAATCTTCTAGCTTCTCTTGAAACATGATCAACATCTACTTGTGATACACATATCCATTCACTCTATGAAATCAGTTCATATGCTTTGGAAGATAGTCTCATTTTATGCCTGCATTAATAAGCCAAAACATCCTGTTAAAATCACTTCCTTGGAAATGAGCCATCTAAATTCAACGTTTCAAATAGTTATTGTTTCTTTATAGGAAATTTGCAGTTAGACTATTTTTCTGTATATATTTCCTATAAAACCTCAAGTCTAAAAGTTCACTGCTGAGAATTCTATATTGTACCAAAATATAATATTGAATAAAGCCATTGATAATAAAAATAAATGTTCTTCGTCTAAGTGAGAATCATCCCTACATTTAGTCTCTCAAAAACCATCTAGGCTCAAAAGTCTACTTGCTGCTCAACTCTATTAGAATTTAAGGTAAGAAGAAAACAGCTTAATTTTTGTCCAGACTAAATTCCTTTTGGTATATCTGAAAATCCCAATTCATACATCAGTGAGAAAGCAATACATTGTTGCAGCTGTTTGTCAGTGCTTTCAGTAATATAAATAGTCATGTAATTATCTACATTGTGTAAATGTTTAGTTCGATCTTCTAATAGGCATAAATAGAATAAACATTTTGATAAACTAATTTACGGTTATTGTAACTCAGATGTTGCCGTTGCGTTAGTGTCAGTTATCTTTTAGGAAGAATTTTTACTGGAGATAAAATATAGAGAGCTATGTAAATAATGTGTATATAAAACCTAATTGTCCGGTCAATAACCGTTGTCTTGATGTGTTGGTAAGATTTCATTATTTTATACGACTTATTCGAACTCGCAGCAAAGAGATTTTTACTTGAGATCCAACAATACTCTTTCTTGGATCTGTTGTTCTCTCTAAGGTGAAAAACACCATACCTATAAAAGCTTCCTCCTAAGCTACAGATCTCTGTCATCTTGCCAACAAATTGTATGTCTAATGTAAAGCAATAAAAATTGGATTATCAGATGTTATTGAAGAAGAATTTTAAAGTTATATTAGTGAGTATTGGAGTATCAACTACCTCATTTTATATTTACTGTCCAGCAGTTCTGTTCTTTTGACTTCAGAAAGATGGAGTATAAATATCACTAACTGGTTTGAGTCCCGCAAATAACTAAAGCTTCTAGAGCTTTAAAATAGTAAAACGTTGTCAATGAAAGCAGTACAAACAAAGCGTTGTGTAATTTGTTTTCAAGTAAACAAATAGCGAAATATGACGTCATTATCTTGTTGCTACAACTTTCCCGTTATTCTTTGTTTTTGGGGGTTGTAAAACGGTTAATTATTTCTTATTGTTTGGATTCGTCATCCTGACCAATTGACTTGTTTCTGTCAGTAATTGAAATAAGCGCATAGATAGTTGTTAATTTTTGTATTTGTAGAGGATTTCCGTAAGTATTATTCAGTTGACTTTTGCTGGTTGTGGTTTTTTATGGGAAGGCCCATCAACTTGTAGCAATTTTGTTCTTGATCTTGTTTATATCATAACATTCATCTTACTGTCTTAATTTTAAATTTTACCTTTGCCTCAAAGAAAATTCAATCATTTACAACCTGTCCGCCTTACAAGCTCAGGTCCTTGAGTGTACGTGAAAACTCTTCAGAAGAAGTCATAAAACTTGAAAGACTTCCATCTGAATGTTTGACTCATGTCCTGACCTATATAAACTCTCCACAGGACCTTGAAACGGCGTCTTTGGCTTCAAGTGCACTAGCCAGTGTAGTTGCAGATAAATACTTCTGGAAAACTTTAACACTAGCACACTTTGATATAAGTCAGATACCAACCGTTAATTATGGTCTCCCTGGATGGCATACTCGATCTCCAGCATCAATTGATGATTGTGATTGGAAACGAGCCTATGTCAGATTGCTCAAAATATACGGAGACAATCATATTTATCCAGCTAAGCTAGCTGTCTGCGAAGTTTGCTTCTGTTTGTTTTGGCCGGTGAGTCACATACCTAATTTTCTATATATATATATATGTTTATTGGTACTCCAACTGCCTAATCACTGATTTTGAAAAACAACACAACCTATTTCGCCAGTTTTATTTACCTATTTTTACTTGATCACATGCATCCGTGTATATAAGGGGGACTAAAATGGCCCACATAATTGAAAAGTATGGTAGTTCAATCAATAAACAAGTGAACAAAAATAATACTTGGTGGATATATAGCTGAAGATTTTTTTCGGTTTATGAAACTCATATCAATTTTATGAGGTTTAACAAAGAATTGCCCCAGAATCACCGAGAACTTCTGTCCTGAACCATAACTGATAACATCGCAAACCACTGAGTTACATGGCTGTTGGGACCCTATATAAGGAATCACAGTGGACTGGCAGGTACAAGTGGTATACAGTTATCTTCCATACCATGATGCCATGCCATAAACTGGCCTTACCTCCCTTTTCTTCACCATTATTCAATACCTTCACGATATATTCAGTCGAGTGATAAGTAATAATGTCTATCGCATCAACTAAGTCTCCACAATTGTGACGGATTTATGGCGATAAATATCCTTTCTCAGAGACAGCGGGTTTAGCTATCATTCCAAATTTCACGAAACTAGAAATATATTCTTATTCGTGATAAGATTCATACTTTAGGAATCTATTGATCTCTTTTGTTCAAAAATTAAATATGGTCGTTAGAAAATTGTCATCACATGTAATGCTTAATTACGTATAGGTAAATAAAAAACGGAATCTTAGTCCTAATATTATTTAGCAAATATTTGAATTATATTGTGAATTTTTAGTTAGTAAGATCGTAAAATTAACTCCTCCTTTATCCGGGCTTGGGGCCGGCAGCAACCCCCAGAGGGACTCCAGGCGGAGTTGCAGAAATAACTTGGGGATGTGTTTATTGACTCAATACTATTTAGACATTTGTGCAACGATCATACATAAGTTAACTTATAATAGATTATTGATCTCCTTAATTATTAAGTAATATTAGGATGAATGTAAAACATAGGTTTTTTATTTGATTTCAAAAGTCCATTAAAGGATATATAATCTAAAAGTAACATTTATTCAGTATATTCTAGTTTTTCTTTGATTCATAAAGAAAAAAAAATATTTTCAGTCGAATTAACATAACAGCTTGAACAACATTCCGAAATGTATACACAAAGTTTTCTTCATATTTAATAATCACCGGATATTTTATTAGAAAGAAGTTCTATCTTTCATCTTGATTATACAAATTGTTATGACTTAATGTCTTAGAGGTTACTCGTGATGTAATCTTTGCTCGGATATAACAAAAATCATACATAAAAAAAAGTAATTTTAATCTTTTGAATTATTATAGATATTTGGACATCCTTGCCATTATCCTGATAAAGAACAACGTATCCGTCTTCTTACTCCAAATGAATTTATTACGCTCTTCCAAATCTAATAGTATAATCCATATATATAAATCATACATGAAAACATTTGAGTGCCTTCAGTTTATTTACTTCAGTCATAAATCTTCTTTTTTATAACAATAATCTAGTTTTTCATTTGTTTGTTTGTTTTTAAATAATGAAACAATAGTCTGTATTTATTCTCATTTTCATCTCATAACAAAAGAAGAAAAAAGAAAACATGCATTTACTCATTATTATGTGCAATTCCTTCCTTTCAAATCATTAGCATGCATTGTTTATTTATTTATTTGATCTCAAACAAACTTTCAAAAGAACTCATAACTTCTATTTATAATCTTATGAAACTATGATCATTTTCTAGTTATTGTTCTTTATATTATCTTTGTTTGTTTGTCTGTTTGCTTTTATGAATCCGTTCTAATTTTATTTCCGGTTTATTTGGGACTTGGTAGCCCTTTTCTTTCTTTTTTTTAAAAAAAGAAAAAAACTCATTTAATAAGTTATATATTTTTATATCAGCTTAAGCATGTCAATACATATGTGATTCACCTATTATTTACATCAAACTGTGATCGGCCAAAAAAACAAACAACAACAAAGAAATACTGTAAAGAGACTTTATTTTTGGCGCCAGTTTACTACTGAAGTCTGTTTCTATTTCCCTATTGATTTATTTGTTTATTTATTCAACTTATTTTTTCTTCTGTTTCTGTTGTTGCAAGATTTATTTTTTTTTGTTTTTATCATATCAGGAAGTGGAAAAGGCTTGTTTTTAAAACCTATTTATTATTTTCCATAAAGACATACATAAATATTTATTTGTTGTTTCATTTAACAAAGCATTCATATAATAAATATACATCTCCATACATTTACTGTCGTACTTAATTGTTTATTGATAATGTTATATCTTAAAGGTTGATTTCTTGATAAACCGCGTATACCAAAACCCTTCCAAGTCGCAGTAAGAAGACAGAAGACTAACGAAAGGAATATTATTCCAAAGTGTCAATTATAGTGCAAAATTGTCAGGTATTTATAGTTTTTAGTAAGAACGAAATCACCATTACAGTCCACCAATCCGCGTACATGGGATTATTAGCATTGACCAATCAGGAGGCTACACGTTGAATTCTAGAGTATTCTTCTGAAATGTGATTGGATGGAATATCTTCGGCTCCTTCTGAGCCTCCTACAGCTTCCTCGAGCTCACCCGTGTTCCGTCGTCACAGATAAGTTGTACTTCACGTGCAAAATTAATGTTATCAGTTCACATAACATAATCTGTATGCGTACCTAAGTAGATTTTCTCATGTCAGAGAGAGGGAGTTGGTAATGTTTGGTAACTATTTTACTGTAGAGTATCTATCTCATCTAGTGGAACTTTAAGTTCGACAGTAATTAGGGTACATTTTTCTAGTGTTTACTATTTTAATATGACTGATAAAATAAATGACAATGTCACTACTTTTCACATAGCTATGATATTCGATGTACAATATAGTTATAGCCAATAGATCTCGTTTTCAATATTAAAACTGACATAGTTCTTTTATTCAACGTTTTCTTTGAAAAAGGGAGATAAATCGCCTAATTAGATAACTTTTGAACGAGCGGCACATCAATATTTAAATGCTGCACAATGGTTTATCGATTCACGTTGCTGTGTAGTGTACTTATGACAGTATGTAGCACTAATCTAAAGTGGAATGCATGTCGGAAGAAGATTGATAAGATTCAATTGAAGAGAACAAAATGGGAAACAGTAATTGTAATAACAACAGAATTGAAAGAATCATCTAAGGAACAGCTGATGGAAGATATGCAAATTATGTATTTAATGTATGGTTTTCATATTTCGCGAAATCACTCTGTAATTTTGCATTAAACCATAAATTGGTCTTCCCCATCTGAGTATTCGTTCACTACAGTTGTATGAGATTATGAAAAGATAAAAATCGTAACTAATCTAGAAATGTAGTCAGTGGAACAAGAAGGATGTAAGTAAGTACACAGTAAAGTGAACCACATCTACACCGATGAACAAAGACTTACTACATAACTAGGTCAAACTGTAAATAAAAATCACAAACATCACAAGAATTTCCATAAATAATACATTTATAGAATGAAACTTGAATGAGATTGCAATTCTCTGTCGTGTACATTCTATTGAAATACAATGCATCTAGACTATTCCATTTTAAAAAATCATAGATGTATTCATTACCAGAAGACAATACAACAGTATATCAAATACACTCATTGGTCTTTTTTTTCAATATCCAATGTAAAATTCACATCATTAAAGTACATACCATTTATCAAGATTTAACTGATAATCACGTGTAAGACACCAATACATATATGAATCCAGGTAATGAAAACAAAAAATGTCATGTGATTAAGGAAATAATTGTCTGTATAAACAATAAATTTGTACGTGTTATAGATCACTCAGTTAACGGAAACGAACAGAAAAACATTACAGCCCTTTAACCTCAAATGCTAAGATCTTGTTTTTTAAAAGTAGTAGTGTTAAGACTACATGTAGTGTTTTAGTTGGTATGTCGTAAAGTTTAAAACGAATAAAAGAGCCACTATTCAAATAGTGATAAATTTGAACCAATTATATTTAATATCTCTCTTCGATTTTCATGTGTCCCACTCTTCCACATAAACAACAGAAAGATGATATCCAAAATATAATTGAAGGAAATCAATCATTTGGTAATATTGATGTAGTTCTTATTGAGTTTTAATAAATAAGTGACTAACTGATTTACCCAACAAGTAAGTAAGACCGTTTAAACTAGCATCAAAACTCAAAATGAAGTGGTTAACAGTTTGGCTAATTAATTTTTATTAGAACAGTTTTATCGTTATGAATTTTCTTCAAAATGTTAAGCATATTATAAGCAAATATGGGCGGTGGCAAGCAGTAGAATTCAGGATGCGCATTTCGTCCTATTTGAGACTCATCAGCTGGATGCACTTGTATCCCAGAATTGTTATTCACTCCGGGACATATTGTATGTTTCTAGTCACCCAATCTTATTTTATGCAATTAAACTAAAGACGAAAGTTATGGTACAATGGTCATTTGAAGAAAAGTAATTTAAATTGAACAGAATAATGATCGTTTTAAATAGTTTGCCAAAAAGAATTATTTACCCGCTAAATAAGAATCATATAATCAGTAAAATAGAGATTATAAACAATAAGTTTTATGTATTTTATATTAGTGTTGCTTATCATTTATTATTACATCCTAAGTAATTGACATTTCATCATACCTTTCTGTTAGACTCATATATCGTGTTTTTCTTTTTTATATGACATTAATTGCATTCCATTGACATAATATTTCATGGTTTTATTGTTTTAGTAACAAAAGTATGCAAAAATGTCATTATTGCATTAAACTTCTTCTTTATTGATTCAATCAAATTGTAATATTGACATTGAATATTTAATGTTAATACAGACCCCTTTATTGTTGTTGTTGATTCATATTTTAATATAAATCAGGGAACTTTATTAAACCAGTATGTTTCGGTTGTAATTGAAATCTGAATTCATAATTGTTTTTGTCTCATATTACCTTAGAAAGTATAATTTATCATGTGAGTAGAATGTGACTAATTGAAAGAAATACAATATTATTAAATGATTTCTGACAATTGTTTGAATTACTAATAGTTGAATATTTCTTTCATCAAAACCAAAACTATATAGAATCTTGTTGGTTTTTTTAATTATGAAAACAATGACAACTGTATAGAAATTAAAGTGATCTAGCGAACTGAACTCTATAAATTAAACTAGGTAATCTGAAGTATGATTGGTATGGTGTCATGATATAAAACTGTGCATCGAAATGGTCACTTTTTTAAATTTTTTATATTCATTAAATAATGAGTATATGAGTGAATGTTTAGGTGAATAAACAATGGTATGAACTAGTTAATAAATCCAGTAATAAACAATTTATTGCCTGTAAACATCACGAAACAATAATAAGCATGATTACTATCTTTAGTATCCGATGTCTCATTGAGTTACATGAATAGTAGAAGACCGTTCCTGGCATGTGCCTAAAACGTTTTAACGGTCTAATCAGTAGCCAACAGAATGAGAAGAGGTGAGAGTAGTCTATCTTCTATGATATCGATTTTTACTCAAAATGAACCTGTAAACGTCCTCCATAAGCTTCTTTGAGATTCAGTTCCATATGATAGCTGAAACTGATTGAATAAACAATAATCTAAACTTCAAAACATGGTTTTCAGAATATTTTAAATTAACATTTCAAGGCTAATAATCACATAATAGACAATCATTGTTATATCGTAAGAAATTTCAAATCGTGTGCCTCCTTCTCCAACACATTGTACATTATAAAAACGTTCTGAAATATTTTTGTACGCTTTCAAGATTATATGTCACTTGAATAGCACATTTTAAATCATATATTACTTTACTTCATTAGTATAAGCAAAATATTCTGTAGCTAGTAATAGGTTATTACACACAGTAACGATATATACGACTGACACTCTAGTTACTGAATTAAATCTGCTGCCTGTCTTAGGAGATATGCTATCAACCAGGAATCTCTAACAAAATCTACCATGATTTCTCATTTCCAGTTGCTCTCAATTGCTGTTCAGCCTTCGGATGTCTACCTCCAGTTCCATGGCCAATATGTTCTTTGGTTTTTCTCTTTTTCACTTTTCCCTAAGGATTACAAGTTAGGGCTTCCATTGTGATGAAGTTTAATTGCTTCTGTAAACTGTGTTCTGTCCACCTCCACAATCGTTTTCTAATTCGCTCTTTATGAAGTAGCTGTTCCATTTTCTACCAGAATTGATCATTGCTGGTCTCTTGAGAATGGATATGGAGTATATTGCATAGACAGTTGTTTATAAATACATGTGGATTTTAGGTGTTGGTACTGGGAGTTATCTCATGTTCAATTGTGTGCAGTAGAACTGTCTTAATGGTTGTGTTAAAAATTATGACT